GGCGGTGTAGATAAGAGAGTATTGCCCAATGATGCTTTTGCCCCATCCAGGCTTTTAGCCTGCCGTCCTAGCAGGGAAAAGCACAGCCTGCATCCTCCATTGTGGGCATAATATGTGTTGGTTAGTAGCTATCATCGTACGCATTGAACAAAGTCAGGGTTTTCTGGGCAAGTTGTGTTTATCAGATAGGGGAGAGGAGTGTGCAGTTCTAGTCTGCTCAGTCCCTGTGTACAGCAATATTAACCTAGATCCTGCCCTCCTTCATCACCCGAGTAAAACACAAAGGCAGAAAAACTGGAGCAACCCTCTACTTTCTTTTTGTAATGTATCTAAACATGTCATTATTGCGAGGGATCTTTCTAATTAGAAGAGTTTCCCATGAGGTGATATATCAGGGATTTTTTTCTTTAATTGACCAAGTATCTTACCAAGTAATTTAAAAAAATTACTTGGTAAGATACTTGGTAAGAAAAAAAAAATTAAAACCTTAAACTATTTTTTTAAATCTCTGAATCTCCTATAGCATAGGAAAAAATTGACTTTGAGATGCAAGGGGATTTCAGAATGAGGCCTGGAGGGGTTTCCATTATGTATGGATTAACATAGTAAAATTTTTGTTTATATTTATTAGCTGCCCTTACTCTGCCCTTACTCTGTACCCCTATGCCACCTACTGCCCTTTTTCCTCCCTTGCTCTTGCACATTCATCCAGTGCAGACAAAGTATTCATTCACATTTAGAACCTGAGGTCAGAAGTAGGCCAGCAGGTGGAGGCTGGAAACTTCCCCCGCAGACAGGTCAGGAATCTAACACGTAACTCTGACAAGCAGCACAGAGCTAGCCTTACACCTAAGTTCTTTCAAAATCTCGATACTGTGTGGGAGGGCAGGCAGCGAGGACATGTGTGAGTAAAGAACAAAGACAAAATAGGCTTTCATTTTGCATGTGCCTGTGCGCTTCTTATTAGTTGTGAGTTACAAGATATTCCTATATTCTTTGGGTGCTTTAATGTGCTGAAAATCACAGAAGTTGTATTGCAAGTTGCATTTAAAATTTCAACAGCTATCTGAAATGTATATAGCCTAATGTTATTTTTCAAGTATTATAATGTAAATGAATATTGTAACAAGATCACATCACTTTTCAGTTTGTCAGCAAAACCTATTGTGTCTCCGTCTAGTTTTTCTACGTTGCAGTTTTACGAGGTGCACCTTTTGACGGCTCAAGGAGAGAGCTTCTAGCAGCGTTGGGAGTGAGGGATGGTTACAGCTAGAGTTAGGAGGGTTTTCCTGTTTATTTTTGCTTTTGAAGAGGGAGGGGGTACTGTGTATGAAGTGCAGAGCTGTTGATATGAGGAGCGAACAATGAATGAAAGCCCTCAGCATGGGTCCTGTGTCTCATTGTCCCATGGTACCCTCCTGTCACTTTCATTTTGCGCCCCCTAGTCTAGAGTCAGGCCAACTTTAATACAAGGAGGACAGCACTGGGTGATGGGGAGACAGAGGGGGATGCTTAAAAGACGAAGAAGGGGAGAAAGATGGAGTCTGTGGAGTGTGAAATAAGATTGCTTTTTATCCAACAGAACAGTGCTGTAGAAAAGGAAGCTGTTCACCCTGGGATAAAGCATGGGGGGGGCTCACACCTCCCCGATTTACAGTATAACCCTGTGACACCTGGTTGAAACCGACACCAGCAGCTTTGATAATGATAATGTGAGTAATGAGAGCGTTGAGACAACCAGAGGAAGGTAGAGCACAACCTTCTTTTCAAGAAATCTGGAATCTGTGAGAGGAGGAAGCTCATTTCATCCCTCTCAGTGGCGATTCAGGACACATGAATGTCAATCTCTTGCAGACATTTTTTTAAGTGCTGAATATGCAACATAAAATACCTTGAGAACCACAGGAGCTGATTTCAGGTGGGATTGCAGTTCTGCACCTTAAAAAGGCAGTTACCATCATAGGGGTATATATTCAGCTGAGGCCGCGGATGGAGGAGGAGCCTGACCCAGTGAAAGATATCCAGAGTGACTATTATTACTTGCTGCTGCTCTTCTCTACAGTCTGTGAAGAAACACTGGAAAGTGCAGTGGTTACCATCAATTATTTATTAGGCAGTTTGTGCTTGTCAGACTGATTAGCGTTAGTGTAATCACTGCTCTTTGGAGGAAATAGGAAGACTGCTGTCTCTCATCTGAAGGTAATCTTTCCATTTTCAGTGTCTCATCTTCATCGGACAGCTTTTGCATAGCATCTGCTTTTGTCGTCTCCACATTTCTTCCCTTTTTCCTTTCCCCATGTGTTTCTGTCTGATGCTGCTCAGCCCCTCCCCCCCCAGCACCTCATTAATGTGTGAGAGCAAGTTACTCTCTCCCAGCTTGTATAGAGTGACACCTATGGGTCTGAGTAGGCCTCTGCAGTCACTGGCAAGAAGGAAAAGCTTGTGAGGGGAAGGCTGTAAAGCGCCTGGATCATGTCTCTGTGTGTGTGCATTTGCGTGTGTCTGTCTGTCTGTGAGACGCTGGAACAGAGAGTCCATGAACTGTCCCCACTGACTGACTGGCAGAGCAGGGCTGAAATTTATATGCTTAGAACAGATGAGTTTAATCTTTGTTTCGGCAATGGGCTTATTCAGCTTGCATGATTAGATTAATGGAACTGTTTCATATCAATGTATTAGAATGGTTAATGAAGACAATTAATTAGAAGACAACCTTCAGGCTATTGTCCTTTACATCTTTCAGATTTGGGTTAGAAATGGCTCTGTGCCATAGCTTTGAGTGTTTCTCCTAATCTATTTCCAGAGTTAATCTGCAGCTGCAGTTTTAGTGTCTCTTCCATTTGCAGCGTACTCTTAGGCCACTCGTGACCTTTCATTAATTAAAGTCGACCTAGCTTTAATCATTCTGTAATGCAGTTGTAGATGAGACAAGAAATGGGCGAAACCATTTTCCTCTTAGAGATGTAAAAGCACTGCTTGAATCATATATCTGCATTTCAGTATAAATTATGCATGGAACTCTGTGTTGTGCAGGCTGAAATTGTCATGCATGTTGATTAAACATCTTGATAAAGCGGAATAAAAAACATGATGGGGGAAGAAACACAGTCATACATATATGTGCGGTAACGTGTTTGTGCTCTATTTTGGAGGCAGTTACAAGAAAGTTAAATAGCTTTAGAATGCAGGCTGCCTATCACAGTAATGTTTGAGAACAAAGTAAGTATTGATGTGTGGGTGGGGAATTAGTCTCACTACATGTGTCACATAGCAGGAAAGAGACACCTTGCCCCATTTAGGTAGGTAAGAAAAAAAATACCTGGGGATTATTTTGTAATCTTAGCACCTATGCCGCTGTACAGTATTTCCTAATTCTCTGTGGAGATTTATGCAAGCAGGAGATAGATGGGATTTGAGAATCTAAAGAAAGTCTTGGACTCTTTTTGGGAACATTAGGTACATTTTCAGCAGCCAGGAGAGTGCTGTACGGAAGTTGGATATAAAGAAAACTTGATAAGTACTTATTTTCTAGATCTCCTCCTTTTAGTATCTTTCTCAAACCCTTGATTACATGATTATCTTTTAGCAGTAATATTTTATTAAAAAAAAATCCATACAATCTGACAACTCTTTTCTACAACATATGTGTTGGCAAGCAGGAAGTGAAGGGTTCTGCTCCTGCCTGGTTGGAGTCCAGTTCAGTTATTGTGTGTGTGCATGTTGCTATTGTTTTTTTATTTATTTTTTTCTCTCTTTTTTTAAAGAAAAAAAGTTTTTGAATTTAAACAGTTAAATGATAGTTTTTTTTAATATAAAAAATTTTCTTGTTGATTTGAAGTAACTGATGATGCACAGACAGCACATAAAAACTATTCATGTAGTTATGAACCTTACTTAATTTTCTTGATGAGCTGGACTTTTTTCCTTACTGAGCGAATTATAGATGAGTGATGAGGGACGGTATAACATCATAAAATTGGTTTTGGCTCGTGGTATCCCTGTGGTGAGCTCAGGCCAGATGGGTGATGACTGCAGGGCTGAATACTTGACCAGGATATTTCAGTAGCTGTTGTAGGTTTGTCAATATATCAATAGATCATAGAGTAGAGACCAAAGCAGGAAAGCATTTTCAAAAGAGCATTTAAGTACATTTGCTGAGAATTAGCTGACTTGTGTAATAACTGATAAAGCCTATCGACTGCGGCCTAGTTTACTGTTGTCAAATCAATGTTGTTGCATGCAAGTCGCTCTACTTTTAAACAAACTTAACAGGCAGAGGGGATGTTCACAGGCCACTGGAGGCAAATAAAGATGATTGATGTGCTTTTTATTATCTGTTTTTGCTATCTTTTCCTCTGTGTGTTACTTACAAATGGAGTTATTGGATATCTATTGTTTGGACTTTGATGCTCCTAAATGGCCCTGATATATCGAACTAAGGCTTTTAAGGTGGTTACAGGGGATTTCTGAATTTGACTTGGCATAAAAATAAATTGAATTTTAGGCCTGGAAGATTTAAATATTTATGATTTTTTTTAACAGTAGACTACCAAAGGAGAAATTAGGTTATTGTTATTGTTAGCAATCTAGCTGATTGCAATAAGAGACAGTAAAATGTTTCTGAGAAAGAAAAGAGTCTTATATAAGGTCTTTTTTCTTGAGGGATACATTTATTTTTCCATATGCTAGAACACAACTCCTTTTGCAGTTTTGTATACTTAAAAAAACTTATCTTTATGAATCAAAATGTATTTTCCATTATCATCATGGATTAACTTTGATTCAATATTTCAAGTCTGCCTAAAAACCGGGGTGTTATCAGGTAGCAAAGCAATAGAAAGCAGATATGGTCTTTCTCTGCTAGCCTTGCAACTATGTGTCAACAAATGAAATTGTTGCAGGCTCCTATAGAAAAAAAAAAATGTTGCCGTCCCTTTAAGTGCTTCCACCAATTCTGTTGGTGTGTTGATTTAAATATCCTGGTCTCCCTCCCCCTTCAGGAGAGCTGAGCGAGGATGTGGAGGCTGCTAGTGAGACCACCACAGACCAGGAGGACCAAACCAAAGACAGAGAAAGTGGGGGGGAGAAGGAGCTCACCAAAGGGACAGGTAAGGCCAACATTCAATCCCCCTTTTTTTGATGGAGCACTATATAGAGAATTTACGGCCAAGCAGGGGAGAGATTTAACCAATGGGCTTTATCAGCTAAGGAAATTAAACCTACTTAAACATTTCTTTTTAAATGTACAAGCTTTACAAGTTCTCTTTAAATTTCATGATGCTAATAAATGAAACTGAATACGGCAAATTTTAAGGGAAACAATTCAGATAAGGGAAGCCATCAATGCTTGTATTACGTTCAGGCGTCATGTGACTCTTTTTTTGTTTTAGCTCAATAGATGAGCAGGAAAACTCCCTTGTGATCCCCATTCTGAACATATTTACACACAAGACTTACAATACTGAATATCTAGCATTTTCTTTTTTAAATGCAAGGATAGATATTCACATCTCCATCTCATAGGTTGTACATTACATGCAGGGAGCTTTTAATGGCACATCCCATACGTTAGAAGCAGATTGAGAATCAAAAGAGCTGATTTTGATCTACTGTGTTTTGGTCTGCCTTTAATATTTTAAGTTTCTCAGTTTGAGGGGAGGAGCTTCTGGAAGTATAACCTGATCAACTTGATGCTTTGTCTATTTAGGTTGTTAAATATTTTCAAAAAGACCGTTTATAAGTGTAACAGCTTATATTTTCATTGTTGTTTCATCCATCCATTTTAACACATTTTGCAATGCATACAGAAAGTTACTCTCCCAGTGTGATCATTTGTCTACAGACTTACATGCTTGATATTTTATATATCACTTCAGATTTTTACAAACCGTGCAGGGATTTGTAACTTTTCATAAATCTGAAAATCCCAACGGATAAAGGGTCAATTGCTGTCTCATTTAGTGATATCAGGAGCCCCCAAAGGCCTAATTTCAAACCATATGGCTGAAACTGTTATTTCTGCTGTTTCAGTTCTGTGTTCTGCTGTTAAATTCATAAAAAAATACATATTACTAGCATATTTGAAAATATGATCAAATGAAATCATTACATATAATTTAATCATAGCTACAGCAAATGCAACTGGTGTACTAGTAGCCTTATTTGTAATCTGTGCATATATTTGTTGATCAGACTATATGCAGAGAAAAATTCGATCTTTTAATACTTTTAGCCTTTTTTTCTCTTCAAATTTGCAGCACATTTAGCTAATTCTTGCTAGTATTTTTCTCCCTTAAGAAAATAAACTTTTAACCATGTGACCTGCTATACCAATACATTGTCCTGTGAATTAATATGCTAAAATAAATCTACACAAAATCAAGTACTAAAATTGTTCGGAGTAGGCATTAAAACAAGATTTCTTTCTCAAAATTGATAGAGGTGAGAAAAATGGATTCCCATGAAATGAGAAACAAGTTCACTTCACTAAAACTAGGTTTGTTCCCATTATGGTATACAATGCATGTGCATCGGAGCATCAGAGTGCATTAAACTCAAAAAGCTTAATTTTATGTACTGATTATGTTGCTTTTCATTGTTTTGTTTTTTTAGATGTGAAAATTAAACCTTGTTGCCGTTCCTTTTTTCATGCTCCGTTTAATCTTAGTGCTCATATTACCAGAAACAGAGCTGTAAGCTTAGACTCCATTCAATGGAAAGTATTTTTGATAGTAATAGCACTGAACAGTAATAGGCATAGAAAGATGCTCTTCACTTGTCTAACTTCTTCATGTGTCTAACATTCCTTGTCTGACTGTGGGGTGTTTTGATTTACACGAGTCAGGTTAAAAGCTGCAAAACAATCTGCACCTTTTGCAAACCTAAGTTTTTATAAAGTACAGATTTAAAAAAAAACTTCATCACAGTGTTTGAAGCCTTGCCTTTGTAAAATGTCTTTGATATTTGAACTTCTATTTTAAATGAGGCTGAGTTGTTTGCGCTCTTTGAAAGGGCGACACTCCTCTTTGATGGAGGAAATAATGATATGCATGCCTGACTGAATATGGCTAAAAGTATGTTTTAGCACATCAAAATAAAGCACTTTAAAAAGCATTAAAATGAGCTGGCCGATTAATAATTCACTCATACCTGTGGTGCACAGGAAGACGACTCCTTGCATTAGGATTCCTCCTTTTTGAAAGGCAAGCAATTTGATACAAGCATATTCAGTTCCTTTCCTCCTCTCTGTCAGTCACTAATCAGCAAATAAGAGTCTTACTATGTTTTCACAAAGGAAATATGTGCTTGTATATGAAACATTTACAGCTTCCCTGCAGTTTATTAGAAACACTTAGTTAAAAATAGCATTGCATTAGAAAACCAGGACGGAGATTCTGTTTGATGTCAGTGGAAAGGAGGGTGGTGGGTTGAAGGCTGAGTTAGGAAAAGTAGACAGGTGGAGTATAGTAGGAAGGGCTCCTTTCTGTACTTTGAAACTTCCTTATAATTTTGAAATATTGTACAAATTCAGGAATAACACCCCACAATGCACTTGGTCATCAAAGAAACACTTGTTTGAGTTGTCGAATGTCTAAAGATGTTGCATCATAAGAACCTGGCATTTGTTAAATATGACCAGTCGGTCAGAAAGGTGCTCAGTCTGCCACTGTCTGACCCCGATCCTCTTCTCAAACCATCATTAGAACAACCGAAGTACTTCTTCTTATCCTTGTCATATTGCTGTTCGAACAGAGAGCAACATTGTTCTCTTTACAAATGACAGTCACTGTCAGACAGACAGCATTAGTGAACACAAGGAAAAAAGGCTTCCGCCGTTTTTTAAAGCCACTGTCAATCTTGTTTTCTCTTTCTTGTTGCACAGCTCCTCAGTATTCATTATAATCATTTAGAGGTACACCACAAGCTTTGAAAATGCATATGTATTTGGCCTGTCATCTCTTGAAAGATTCCTTCATTATTCCATTGCGTTTTATTTGTCTCAGGGACAAAACACAGATGCGCATGTAAAGGCATGTAATTTATGGAGATTACTTTTGCAAGAAAACACAATATGTTCTGCAATGTTTGAGTTATCATAATTTCATTTAAATTCAGAATAGAAAAGCAAAAAGTAAATTTAAAAGTAATTCCAAATGGCAGGTGCATTTTAACTGTACTCAAGACTGAAAGGTCAACTTAAATGAGATGTCTAAAATATATATGAATCTATAACCATCCCACTTTACTCATTGCCCATCCTTCTCCTAACAGCGAATCTGCGGATTAAGGCATATGAACAGAATCTATACCTTCATTAAAGTATTTCTGCACCAATTTCATGAAACCATGAGAATACTGCTGCAAAAAAGGCAGTGTGTGTTAAAGAACAAGGTGATGATGATAGCTTGACGTCAGAAGTTGGGGGAAATAAGATGGAGATTGTTAATACACCTGCAGGCCTTGACTCGGCGTGATCTGAGGTATTAGCATAAACTGTATAGTGAAGGTTTTTGCTAAAATTTATTAAAAGTATAGCATCTCAGTTCTGGGCTTTGGAGGAAGTTGATGAATAATTTCCTTCCTTTCGGCTTCCCTGTATTCAATTTAGAAAAGTCGGTATAAGGGGATGGAAGTAAGAGGATTTATACAATTATATTTCTGTGTTGGTCATCTGCACGCTGTGAACTGTAACACCTCAGGGAACAGATATATGAGGAGGGTAAAACAAATAGCTCCAAATGGTTAACATGGAGCTCAGAGTAAACTGTTTTCTGATATTATGTAAAATACAATTTCATAATTGAGATTTAAAACTATTTAAAACATGTTATCAGTTTGATTAAAATGAATATGTGTCATTATAAAAATAAATAAACAAATGCGCAAGAAGTAATTTCCTCCCTTCTATATGCAGCACTTGGAAGTGTGTAGGTGTATATTCACACTGTCGTGTATCACCAATTAAATTTGACAAACAGGTTCTAATTTGGTCTCTGACTGGCTAGAATATACAGTATCGACACAACCTGTGCACAAATATTTATACCCTTTTTGAATCACAATTCACCATGTCACCTCTAAACACATCTCATTGAGAACAATTTAAATCAAAATAAAAAGACATTTATGGAACTTGTTTCAAGTTTTTGTTCTTAAAATGACACTGTGTGGCAGTAAACTACCTTTCAAAAGAGATGTTTGACCTGTTTAAATGATTGCAGCTGAACAAAAAGAAGGTTTCTGGTTTATTTTCTCCATTTTTTTCTACAGCTGTCTAATTCAAGACTTAGCAACCGGAGTCACATGCTTACAATATCCAGCCTGTGTGTTTGAACATATCTGTGTGCGTTTCTGGCTCTACATCCACCTGCTGTTTATATTGATGTGCTTCAGCGAAGCCATGTGAACATTCAGGTGTTCTGTGAGTAAGAGAAGCAGATGTCCTTTACACATTGCAGTGGCTGCAAGTAATGTGGATAATGAAGCCGATGATTAGCATCCCCTAGACGCAACACTGTGTTATTGCAGCCGTCTCATTTTTTTTATTCGGCTCTGCTTTGTGCCATCAGACTGGGCATATTTAGAAATACAAAGATCAAACTATCTGGGTTGTTCTCCTCATAACAGAGTGTATATGCAGATATTATCAGTGTGCTGTTGGAATCAAAATTGCATGCCTCAGCATAGTTATAATTCAGTTATTCAGGTTAAGATTGACCACTTTAAATTGTGGGTCATTTAGTGCTGTTGTCATTTGTTATTGCAACCCTCAGTGATCTAGGAACCAAGGAGATGAAGCAGTGGAAATGTTTACATTTTCATGTCACGTCCTTCAAGTGTTTTTCATCCCTCAAATTATAATTCCTTTTGTCTTTGAAGATAATAGGCCATAAATTGTCCTTGTTTGTGAGGCACCTCCCTGAAAGCTCAGTGTTTATGAGTCTACCACAAGGTTTCTAACATCCTGAGCGGTGTCCTATTTGGTGAATAACTTCTCTTCCTATCATTCATTAAACCATATAAATCAGTGCCAACTCCTAAAAATCTCCCCATAACTGAACATTTTCATTTCTCTTTGGCCTAAAGATTTAAGATTTTTGCTTTATGGAATGGAAATATGTTGATTTTCTTTTTTTTTTGCTCCCATATCCCTAGTAGAAGTCTTTTCTGTCTGTTCTTGCTGCATTGTAATTACCACAGAAATAAAAGGCGAAATGGAGCACTGCCCTTTATTGCTTTGGGCTCTGACTCAGGCCGTAGATTAAAACCTCGGCTGAAAGTGGGGAAAAAGAAAAGGCAATATTATTTGTACAGCACAGACAGAAAATGACTTGTAGCAACGTGGGAGTTGAATCATCTCCATATTAATAGCCAAATCGCCATGGGAATAGAGGTGAAGATTTCACACAGTGTAAGAAGCTGAAGGGCGTCTCAGGGTCTCAGTGCTTTGAAGGTGACATATTTAAGCAGGTGTGCTATTCAGAGTGTCCTTAGGTTCCAACATGCAGGTTAAATTTTGGCTCCACATTTACTCACTGGTAATGATATGAAGAAAATTTATAATAATTTATAATGCTGACAACATAAAGCTCCTAGAGCTTGATGAGAACAATGGTAATAAAGCAGTTTAGCTGCAGAGAAGATGTCCTTTCGGTTACTAGCAGGGAAATTCTTTAAAACATTTTTCTCTTTTTTCTATGTTAAAACCTTACTTAATGTGTACTTCTAATATTGCTAATTTTCTTGGTCGGTGGTTAGGGGGAGCTGTAATTGTGCACTCATGAAAGATTTTAATGGGAGATGACCTATTGTGGTTAATCCAGTCTGTGCTGTATCAGTCACTATGTCCAGCAGCCATTTTTGTCCCCTTGAAAACACAACAAGGCAGTAAAGATATGTTCAAGAGACTGATGCAAAACGCTGGCAGCCCCCTTTGCTGCTTGAATTATACAGTCCAGCCACGAAAGAAAGACAAGGTGCCAGAGTCCAAATCACTTACGGGACTCGACAGCAGAAAAGCCTTTGGTTTACGGAAAAGAGACATGAATTAATAATTACCTTATTGGCTCACTGGTTTATTTGTTCTTCTCCTCTTCTTCTCTGCTCAACGTGTTGGTCTTTTCACAAAATGACAAAAGTCATCCTATTTTACTGTCAGATGTTTTGGAGAAGACAAAGGGTCTCTGTCAAATAAAAGGACAAGAAACTAAGAGGAATATAAATTCTGAAATACCATTACGATCTAATCTATAATTACTTTCATGGTGCAGGTAAGGAATTTGCAATGACTTAGTTTGAATGCATAAACATGTTACAGATAATTGTTTTAACTATACTGTAAATAAATAGTACTGCACTAACTTATCAATCTTGGGAAACAGACAATAATCCTTGATCTTCTTTCTTTAAAGCTATTTAAGGAATTTTAAATTCTCCTGGCCTGTAGGTGGCACACCCATGCTTGCCCACTCCAGCCTTCAGTTGTGCCGTTTTCCACACAGCTACCAGGTTTTGCCATTGCAAACATTTAACTTATCTGTCCAGAAGATAAGTGAAAACCTCTGTGTGGTTTCTGAACCCCTTCACTTTTTAAGTCAGAAACAACTGTGGAAGTAAACAGATAATCAAATTATGATCATTTGTCCATTAATGGTTTATTAGATTAGAGGGCGTTTCTCAGTGCTATCGCAGAGCTACTACAATCTGATATTGCCTGTGCTCCGTGTCATGTGACTTCAACCCACAATTCCTATTGGTGCAGCATCCTTTTTAACGTTGGCTACGTAGCAGTGTTTATCTATCTCGGACCCATCAAAATTTATAAACCAGATATTTACAATATTTATTTGTTTTGATGAGAAGTTCGTAGCTATGACCTTTAAACATTTTAGTGTTTCTTCCATTTATGTACATTTACATACATTCACTACATCTGATCTTTGTGTTACCGTTCCTGATTGTACTGATGGGTTTTTTTTTTTTTTTTTTTTTTTTATAAATGTTTTTTATTTTTTTACTTTTTAACTAGAGACTAAGACTTCCTCTCAGCCTTTGACTTTCAGCATGTTCCTCTTGGGACTCTGATTATTCCTGTTTTCAGCATTTTAGCACTTTCTTCTGAACCCACTCTTATATATCTTCTAACAAAAGTGAAGGGATATGAACTTACATTCTTTTTATTCTTTACATTCTTTCTATTGCCCCTCGAAAAAATAAAAATTGAAAACAGTAGTTATACGTTAGTCACGGGTTGCTAATGAACGTGTTGCTCAGTTCCTTAGAGATACAAAGTCCTAATTAGCCGTGACAGAGAGACTTCACCAAAGTGAGGCTTGTGCAGCCCTCTGTTTGCCCTCACTTTACACGCCTTTCTCTCACCCACACTTAAGCATGAAGCACCTCAACCATATAACAGGGTTTTAGCAGCTTTCAGTGCAAAAACAGCCACTTGTTGCACCTTTCTGGTGCTAATTGAGCAGCTCTGAAGTCATAATTGTTAAGCTTATTCTCTTAACCATGAGCCTGAGAGAGGTTTGATACTTTCTGTGTTGCATTACAGCTGCACATTCACAATTTGACTCTCCTGAAGTTCTCTCTCTCAAAAAAATGCTAATTTATCATTTTAAATACAAAAAAAAAATATCTCCAGTTTCGTAGATTAAGATTTATCTTTAAGAAACAATTCCCCTGAAATGGAATTTGGATCTCAAAACCTAAGTGACCATGTATCATTAAAGCATGACTACTTGATGCTTTTTCTTTATCTAAAGAGAGGAATCCAGGGAGAGGAAAAGGAGAACTGCAGTAGAGTTGGAGGGTGAATTGGTGAGCACAGTCCCATGACTTTGAGGTTAATGTCCATGAATAGGAGGTTCTTTTTGTTTAACATTTCCTTTGTTTATTGGCGGATGTGTTTAATAGGATTGACTGTGACTGAACCTTAATAGGGTCTCCATAGTTGATCTCTGTGTCTCTGGGAGATCTTACAGACTTCTCTGCCCTAAGCCAGGTCTCCCACTGGGTAATCACCTCAACTGCCCTCCTTCTGATTGAAGCTGACATTTTAATGTCTAGAGTAGGAGTATGGTCAGCATTGTTTAACCTGGGCCCCCATTGCCATACCATCCGTCCATCACCAGTGGCCTCTCTTCTCAAATTGCCCCTCAAGAACTGTACGAATGAGGCCAAATTTGCCACTTTATAGGGTTGTTAGGGGTTTGTGAGATAACTCCTTAAGTTTCACAATAAACCCTTTCCCATGTAGCTCCTACTGCACCTTCTCTTTACAGTTCCTCTGTCGTATTAGCTTTTCACTTAACACATGCTTAGTTGTTCAACTAAAGTTTCACCTCTAGAGTGGCAACTTTCAATTTATCCTTTCCTAGTTTAAGTCGAGTAGTTTTACAGTGGCTTGCAGGAGCTCTTTTGGGAGGACTCCCTGCAGATACAGAATGGGGAAAAAAGGCATGTTATTTGGGGTAATTCTGCATTGTTTGTATTACAATGTATTACAGGTCAATTACATTACAGTCACTGTAGCCTTTTCTATTACAAGTAAATCAGAAGTTGAATATGAGTATGTTTGTACTGTATATGACTAATCCCAACCCTGCTTTATGTAGCTATGTCTGGTGTTGAAAGACTTGTTCTGTGCAAAAGAGTTTTGTGGAATTGAGATTTGTGTTGCTGTATTAGAACAGATTTTCTATTTATTTTGTATTTAAATAGTTGTTTTGAGTTCCTTTCTAGTATTATTGACAAGTCTTAGAATGTAATTTTTAAGAATTTAAATGTAGTTGAGAAGATGGAAAGCTAATGTTGACTTCTTTTAAACAATAAGCAAACACAGACAGTTTAAAAAGCTTTTATCATGCATCTGTGAAACTTGATTTATTTTTATTCTTGAGGGGCCTCATGACAGATTTATAATAATTTTAGTGAAGCAAATCTCAGGATGTTGGTCAAATCTCATAAAATTTAAATGCACTTTTCTTTAACAATATGATGCTGAGGACAATCATTTCCATACACAATTCCAGTTCAATGCACTTTTATCAGATCTGAGAAGTTATTGATCTGATAAAAAGCTGATTATTTCTTTGATTGACATTTCTGCTATTCTCTCTTAAACATTTTGTTTATGTATTTGTGTTTCGAATATTTTCAGGTGTGCCCGGCCACTTGGAACGGCACCAGTCGGATTCTCCTCTTCCCTCAAAAAGGCCCTCTTCACGCTCAGAGACCTCTGAGAGCCCACTCTCCTTAAAGCGTCCAAGGACAGCTGAGAAGGAAACTGTGGAGCAGGTCAGCATTACCAAAAAATAAAAATAAAAAAAAAATTCTCTTTAAATTGATGCTCTGTGATGTTTATACAAATCTGCATTTCTTTGAATTAAAGGCATCAAACTAAAGTTATCATTAATTACCAAGACATGATTAAAGGCTCAAGCTTGAGATTCAGTTCAATACAAAACTCTGAAAGTCATTTTCAGGGCTGACCTTTTTTTTATATTATGCAGATTTTCTCTTTTAGATCAACTCAAAATTAATTTAGTAAATCTGCTAAACTAGCACAGCTAATTGTATATAAGCTGGAAAATCATTATATCATTTGACAGATGAGACTACTTTGAAGTAGGTGTTAAGACCAAATGCTGCTCACTTTTCCTGTGTGATCACAGGCGTGTGCTGAAATAGGGAGAGGGCCCCTACTTAGATCTTACGTTAACTCACGTTAACCCTGTAGTTTCTCTTTGTCTGCCTCCACCCACAGATGTACCAGTGCCCCTACTGCAAGTTTACCAACACCGACCTGAATCGCCTCAGAATGCACGTGATGACCCAGCACTCTGTTCAGCCCATGTTACGCTGCCCGCTGTGCCAGGACATGCTCAACAATAAGATCCACCTGCAGTTTCATCTAACACACCTCCACAGTGTTGCACCTGACTGTGTTGACAAGCTAATAGCCACAGTAAGTCCTAAATTATTATTATTATTTACTAAGAATGTAACTCGGTGTAGAACGATTTGGAAAGTGTAGATCAGTGTCAAGATATGCTCCAGGTTTTTATATCAGCATCTGCAATGTCAGAGCTATGTCTTGCAGGTCATGGATTGGACGCAGTAAACTAGCTTTCCTAATCGAGATGACTTGGTGCTTTATAAATAAAGTTAATTGATTTGCATTGAATTGAATTGAGTTGGACCACTCTGAAATCTGATTGGCCCTACCAGGTGTCCCCCAAGATGACTGACATGTCACAGTGCACATCACTCCAACCCAGAGCTTGGTGCTATACACAATTTGAAAGAGTGCAAAATAAATAACTCAAGTACAGCAACTTAGGTAAAAAATTTTATCAAATACTTATTAAGTTACCAGTGTAAAATGTTGCTTGGATATAAGTCACTCTTGCGTCACATGCCGCTTTGCTGACATCATTGTCAACTGTGTTAATACCTATGTGCTGGTCAAAGCAAATTTGTTTTCTCATAACTGTTGTTATATTTGTGACAAGGATTAACCAAAGTATTTTGACAACTGAATTACTTTCTGATAATTTTCTGAAATAAATTGAGATTTTTTTTTGCTACCTATTGTAAAAAAAAAAAAAAAAGTGAGCATGATGAGTTAAGATAAAAAAAAAAAAAGTTTAAATCAGTAATGACTTTTTTTTACAAATCTTTTAGCTTATCTAGTTTTAAAACACACCAGGCTCGAAAATCACTTAAAAATTGTGCCAAGTCAAGAAGTAAATCTTTTTCCTCTTTTATGTTCAGAAGTTAAATAACAGGCTCAACAATCACCATATAAAACATTTCCCTCTGCTCCCAAGTCATTTTTATCCTCTATCTGGAAAGTAAATGGAGAGAACATTATTATGGTAGATAGCAAGATTTATTTCTTTTATATAGCTAGTAATGTACTGAATCACTACAAGAGCAGATAGAACAGAGGTAATATAACACACATTAAAGCCAAAACCTCTTTACAGCTAGTGAATACAGATGGAAATTTTCTTCACCCCATTCACATATCTTCCTTTGTAGAATACTCCTAATTAATTCTGAGATAGGTGACTTTTATTTCTTGCCAAGAGCGCATACTGATGTGTTTACTCTGCTTTAAATCACTTGTTGTCTTCACACTTATACTTTTTCTCTTATTTTTCCCGTCCGTCTCTTTTATATAAGATGCATTAACTACTTTAGTTGTTTTTTACTCCTTCATTTCAGTTCTCATTTTCTGTCTGCATTAGATAGGGGTGATGAAAATAATTGTCCATCATTAATCTAAACGTGACTGGATGATAGTCATTTTAACTGTTTTCCAATTAGATAGCCTGAATTAAATGTGACTTTAGGCTTCTTTTACCTAATCACCTAATGAAGCAACTGTTCAGAAGTTATCAGGTTTCTTGTAAAAATCAGAATTAATTTGTCTTGATTTGTGAGATTAATGGCTCTTTGGATTTTATACATTTAATGTAGAAAAGGTCTAGATTTCTAGGATTTACTTTTACCAGTCGAAGTAAACTTTTAAAATGTTTTTACATGTCATGTTTACAACGTTTTTTGTTTCGTTTTGTTTTTTTGTTTTTTTTTGTTTTTCTCCAGGCAACCCAGTCTCACTACAAAATGTATAATAACCACTAGGGCTCTGCAAAATTGACTTAAAACCTTTTTCTAGATTTTGGGGTAAAAGAAAAAAACGTTATCTTTACTTCTATGCAGTTTATCTTGATGGCGTCACAATCACAAATGCTGCTCTTAAAAAATATTATGATTTACAAAAGGCTCCTTCATGACACAATTTGTCAGTCCCCTAAAGAAAAAGAAAAAAAAAGAAGAAAAAACATTTTTTTTTTTTTACTTTGCCCATCATTTTGGGAGTTTTTAAACAATATTCATTCTGATTTATGGTTTAAAAATCAAAATTCTGATCATGAGGAGAAATTTATCATGATACAATAAATACCCGCCCCAATACCCTCGTTGGTCCACAAGGAAATTTTACGTCGTCATAATTTGACCCTATAAATGACCCTAATCCCACATTTTATTTGGGCTTTTCATTTACATTAACTTTCAAACTGGTTGCATTTCTTTTAAAAAATGGCAATTGTTCCTCCAACTTCATGTGGAAAAAACTTTTTAAAGAAATAGTCTTTATTTATTTAAATTTTGATTACATTTCTAGCAATAAGTATGCATCAAATTTTAATAAGGAGTTGCTGCAATTCCTATCTCGGTGACCTTCGCCGAGATTCCCTATTGTTCGTTATGTGTAAAACGTAACATTTTAAAAGAAGCATCCACTTTTATATGCATTTTCAAACATTAAGCATGAAAGATGGGCTGTCCAGTGGTGCAGTGGGTAGCACTGCTGCCTTGCAGCAAGAAGTTTCCGGGTGTGATACCCGGCCTGGTGTCTTTCTGCATGGAGTTTGCATGTTCTCCCTGAGCATGCTTGGGTTCTCTCCGGGTACTCTGGTTTCCATCCACTGTACAAAAACATGACTGTTAGGTTAACTGGCTTACCTAAATTCTCCTTAGGTATACATGATATGTCCATATGTATTGGTACATTTCCATTTCTAATGGGAGTGTGGCGAAAAAAAAAATTTGAATTTTATTTCAGAATCAAATTTGGTCTGAGAAAGTTAGGGTTAAATATTATCTTTTTTCATAATTGAATGTAAATTTATGTTGTTTGTGCTGCTGAAATCGGATGTTTTTTATATTAAATGTTATTTTATTTTGTCTTAAAATTAAGCCTTATGGGGTATTTGAGCTTTTAAAATAAAGACAGTATAAACCTGGATAGTCACAGTATATATGTTTTTTGTCATCACAGGTAACGGCCTCTGAGGTTCTACCAGCAAGCATGTTTATACCGGTGCCTAGTCCAGACAAAGAGTCCCACAGCAATCCAATTGCTACCCCCAACTCCAACTCTGAGGATACAAAAAAGCAGCCTGGTTAGTATGAGACGCTTTAGTTTTTTGTTGTTTTTTTTCTCCCTAAATGTATTAGACACATTTATATGCAGAACAATGTGTCTAATACACATTGAGAACACGCCTGGATAAAAGATTGGTGTTTCATCATCTGTTATTAATCTCAATCTTCATCTCTTTGTAGACATACATTTCATTAGAAGTCCAGTGAAAGTATTATTATCCATTACGTAACTGAACTGATAAATAACTGCAACTGTTGTTGTCCAGATTAATAGGTGTTTATTTTTTTACAGATGCCACAGATGCTGAACCAGAGAAAGGAATGTCTCTCACCACTGACATTGCTGAATCGCGCAAATCACCTTTAGAAGATCAGCAATCAGAAAAGGAAGACGCCACAGGATTTCTGTGCTGGAAGAAAGGCTGCAGTCAAGTTTTTAAATCTTCCAACTCTCTCCAAATGCACTTCAATGAAGTTCATAACAAAAGGCCGCAGTTGCCGGTTTCTGATCGCCATGTCTACAAGTACAGATGTAACCAATGCAGTTTAGCGTTCAAAACTGTGGAGAAACTGCAGCTTCATTCACAGTACCATGTGATCAGAGCAGCAACCATGTGCTGCCTTTGTCAGCGGAGCTTCAGAACTCTACAAGCCTTGAAGAAGCACTTAGAAACAAGCCACTTGGAGCTGAGTGAAGCTGATATCCAGCAACTTTATGGAGGATTGTTGATGAATGGTGACATTATGGCAATGGGAGATCTAGCTCTAAATGAGGAACATGGAAGTTTGGGAGAAGATGACAAAGAGGGAGATGAAAGTGATCCAGACGAAAAACAGAGTCCAACAGGCAGTGATTCTGGCTCACTGCAGGAAGATTCTGGATCTGAACCCAAACGTGCACTACCATTCAGAAAGGGCCCCAACTTTACAATGGAGAAGTTTTTGGATCCATCTCGTCCATTCAAGTGTACAGTATGCAAAGAGTCTTTTACACAGAAGAACATTCTGCTGGTCCATTATAACTCTGTCTCCCACTTGCACAAGGTTAAAAGAGCTCTTCAAGAATCTACTACTGGTCAACCTGAATCTACCAGTAGTCCTGATAATAAGCCATTTAAGTGTGGCACATGTAATGTGGCATATAGCCAGAGTTCAACTCTGGAAATCCACATGCGCTCTGTTCTACACCAGACCAAAGCAAGGGCTGCCAAACTGGAAGCAGCTGGATGTATCACTAGCTCTGCAAGTGCTACTGGTCTAATTAGTGGAGGCTCCAGCATTAGCACTTCATCAACTAGTCCAAGTCCAGCCAGTAACTCAACTCCTAGCTCTGCAAACCACAGTTCTTCAGTATCTCAGGCACCTCAGAGTATTCATGGAGGAAATCACATGAACCAGGCTCATAGCATTGAAAGTATGGGGAATTCTTCAACAAGCTGCCATTCTTCAACAACTGAGAGCCATGAAGTGAAAAAGGCTAAATTTACAGAGATTCTTTCTGCAAGAGGGCAACAACAGCAGTTTCAGCAACAACAGCAATTAGCTCAGGCACAAGCCCAGGCTCAAGCTCAGCTTCAGCAAGAGCTTCAACAACAAGCTGCTCTCTTACAATCCCAGCTTTTTAATCCAGCACTTCTGCAGCACTTCCCAATGACAACTGATGCACTTCTCCCACTGCAGCAGCAGCAATTGCTTTTCCCTTTCTACATCCCTGGAGCCGAATTTCAACTTAACCCAGATATCAACATCAGCAACTCTGTACTTGGCCTTGCAGGATCTGCAGCTTCTACCCTGCAAGAAGAGTTAAAAAACTCAGCCCAGCAGGCCCAACAGAGTTGCCTGCAGCAGCAATTAATGCATCACCACCTTCAGCAGCAGCACCAACAGCAGCAGCAGCAACAACAAGCTCACTCACAGGTTCAAGGCCAGATGGCTTTGCTACAGCAGAGTGGATCTCTTCTCCAGCAGGCTGAAAAGAAGCAAAAGATTTCTTCCTCCAAAGATGAAAAAGAGAAAGAAATACAAAAAGAGAAAGAGGCAACTGAAAAAATTGAGGACAATGTGAGCAAAGATTCAACTGAAAACAAACCAAAAGAGAAAAAGGACATACAGAGCATTTCACTAAGCATTAACCAAGATACTGGTTTGCTTCCACCCAGGATTGCCTCAGATGCTCGAGGAAATGCAACGAAGGCCTTGTTAGAAAATTTTGGATTTGAATTAGTTATTCAATACAATGAAAATAAACAGAAGGCTCAGAAAAAAACAAGTGGATCAACAGGATCAAGTGGTCTAGGTGGAATACTGAAGGTTGTGGACCCCATCGAGGGATTAGAAAAACTGGAATGTGAGGTGTGTGGCAAGCTGTTTTCAAACATACTGATTCTAAAGAGCCACCAGGAGCATATCCACCAGGCTTTTTTCCCTTTTCGATCCTTAGAGAGATTTGCTAAGGAGTACAGAGAGCATTATGATAAACTATATCCGCTAAGACCTCCAACACCAGACACCACTCCTGCTGTTCCTCCTCCTCCACCACCACCACCTCCTCCTCCACCCCAAAGAGCTCCAACACCAAATATTCCAGTCACTACAGCCTCACTCACTCCTCCCACTGTTCCTCCTCCACAGCCCCCAGTTCCAATGACTCAAATATCCATGCCAATGGATTTACCCTTGTTCTCTCCACTTATGATGCAGCCCATGGCACTGCAGTCTTTGCCCACTCAGTTGCCACCTCAATTACCATCTGTTGAGCCAAGCCTGGCCTCAGACTTGGCTCAACTCTATCAACAACAGCTAACCCCTGCTATGTTGCAGCAGCAAAACAAGAGGCCACGGACACGGATCACTGATGACCAGCTTAGGGTTCTGCGACAGTACTTTGATATAAACAACTCACCGAATGAAGAACAAATTAAAGAAATGGCAGATAAGTCTGGGCTGCCACAAAAAGTGATAAAGCACTGGTTTAGAAATACACTCTTCAAAGAACGGCAACGCAACAAAGACTCTCCATATAATTTCAACAATCCTCCAACAACAACTCTAGAAGAAACAAAAATTGATTCCAAACCTCCTTCCCCTGAACCTCAGAAACATGAGCTCTATGGAAGCAAAAGGTCATCCAGGACCCGCTTTACAGACTACCAGCTGAGAGTTTTACAGGACTTTTTTGATGCAAATGCCTATCCTAAAGATGATGAATTTGAGCAGCTCTCAAACCTCTTAAGCCTTCCCACCCGTGTTATTGTTGTGTGGTTCCAAAATGCTCGACAAAAGGCAAGAAAGAATTATGAAAACCAGGGTGATGGGGGTAAAGATGGAGAAAGGCGAGAACTGTCAAATGACCGATATATTCGTACATCAAATCTGAACTACCAGTGCAAGAAATGCAGTCTGGTTTTCCAGCGTATATTTGACCTGATAAAACACCAAAAGAAACTGTGTTATAAAGATGAGGATGAGGATGGGCAGTATGACAGTCAAAATGAGGATTCTTTGGATTTTTCCCATGACAGCTATACTCCCTCTGGGTCTTCCTGTCACACACCAATGCCCTCCTCTTCAAGTCTTTGCCCTCTTCCTCCAACAACATCAGCTTTTTCACAACTCTCATCTGCTGAAAAAGAGGAAGCTTCACCAGCATCCACCTCAAACCTTTATGATGAAAAGCCAAAACAGTTACTAGAAATGTCTTCTGAATCCCGAGATACTGAAACTTCTATTAAGCAAGAAATTGTGCTTCAAAACCAGTCTGAGCCACAACTCAATAGATCTCAAAGAGATGAAAAGATTCATACTGTCTCTAAGGCTGTCAAGCATTCTTCGTTGTCTCAGCAACATCAACAGTGTGGCCCTTCGTCCTCCCAAACAACTCAATCATCACAAAGCTCCCATTTGGGTCTCAATCCACACCTGTCCTCTGCCACACAGCAGCTGGCACAGCAGATGATACCATACCAGTGTGAACAATGCAAGATTGGCTTTCCTTCCTTTGAGCACTGGCAGGAACACCAGCAACTTCACTTTCTCTCTGTGCAAAATCAATTCATCCATCCTCAATTCCTTGACCGCCCCATTGACATGCCTTTTATGCTCTTTGATCCCAGCAATCCTCTCCTTGCGACCCAGCTTCTCTCTGGTGCAATGCCTCAGATACCTAGCAGTTCTGCCACCTCTCCTTCCACGCCAACCTCCACCATGAACTCCCTAAAAAGAAAGCTAGAAGAAAAGGCCAGTACAAGCCCTGGAGAAAACGACAGTGCAAATAGTGGAGAGGAACCACAGAGAGATAAGCGGCTCAGAACCACAATTACACCTGAACAACTGGAGATCCTTTATCAGAAATATTTATTAGATTCAAACCCCACTCGTAAAATGCTTGACCACATTGCTCATGAGGTTGGGTTGAAAAAGAGAGTGGTGCAAGTGTGGTTCCAGAATACTAGAGCTAGAGAGAGAAAAGGGCAGTTCAGAGCTGTTGGGCCAGCCCAGGCTCATCGCAGGTGCCCCTTTTGTAGAGCCCTTTTCAAAGCAAAAACTGCCCTTGAGGCACACATTAGATCTCGTCATTGGCATGAAGCTAAACGTGCTGGATACAATTTAACTCTTGCTGGTTTGTTACCCGAGCAAGAGAACATGCAAATCAAAATGGATGTTTTAGATACATCAGGCTATTCCCAACTAGCCACAACAGTGAATAGTGATGGCCAAAGCTCTTCCATGTCTCCAGTAAACAAAAGCATGGATCTGTCTCCTAGAGGTCTGCTGAGCCCTTCATCCATCAAAGTTGAAGGAATGGAAGATTATGAGGGTGCAACAATGTCTTCTGTGAACCTTAGCTTTGATCAAAACAAACTGGACAATGATGACTGTTCCTCTGTAAACACAGCAATTACAGACACAACTACAGGAGATGAGGCAAATGCAGATAATGACAGTGCTGATGCAAAGCCTAGCCAGAATAGCGGTGATTACCTTTCCAAGTCTGTAGGTTCTGCCACTATACTCGAAACTGATGACCAAATGTCATCAGGGCTAGTAAGCCCAGCAACAAGCTTCTATGCTAAGGACTATGAAAATGAAAATATGATTGACCATAGTGAAACATCCAGCCTGGCTGATCCCTGTTCACCAAGTCCTGGAGCCTCAGGTACCAGAAGCATTGACAGTGGAGACAGACCAGGCCAAAAGCGCTTCCGGACTCAGATGACTAACCTCCAGCTGAAAGTGTTAAAGTCTTGTTTTAATGATTACAGGACACCAACCATGTTGGAATGTGAGGTGCTCGGCAATGAAATTGGACTCCCAAAGAGAGTGGTTCAAGTGTGGTTTCAAAATGCTCGTGCCAAGGAAAAAAAGGCAAAGCTTAATATGGCTAAGCACTTTGGAATAAACCAGACATCTTATGAGGGACCGAAGACTGAATGCACATTATGCGGCATTAAGTATAGTGCTCGCCTTTCTGTGCGTGATCATATATTCTCCCAGCAACACATATCTAAGGTGAAGGATACCATTGGGAGCCAGATTGATAAAGAAAAAGAATATTTTGACCCAGCTACTGTTCGTCAGCTAATGGCCCAGCAAGAGATGGATCGCATTAAGAAGGCCAATGAAGTTTTGGGTCTGGCACAACAGCAGGCCATGCAACAGCAGGGGATGTTTGATAACTCTGCTATGCAGACTCTGAATCTCCAATCAGCGTATCCAAATCTCCAAGGCATCCCACCTGTTCTTTTGCCAGGGGTCGGCAGCCCTTCTTTATCCAGCTTTAATTCATCCAATTCAGGTATGTCGTTATTTCATAGTAAGTATACTATGGAATTTACATGTTATACAAAAAATAACTTAATGTCAGAATTCAATTTAATAAAAACTATGAAATACCCTTTCCCCTTAACCAGTCACTTGATTTGATACACATGTATAGACAATATATATCTTTTTTTCAAAATTGGCCTTTGTAAACCCTTTTGCTTTGGAATTTAAAATTATTACCTCTTGCTTACAGATTTTGCAAGAAATTAGCATTAGAAAGCTAAGAATCTTATTTTAGTTCATATAAATAATATGAGATATTGTCATGCATACAGGTGCTGGTCATAAAATTAGAATATCATGAAAAAGTAGATTGATTTCAGTAATTCCATTTAAAAAGTGAAACTTGTATATTATATTCATACATTACATACAAACTCATATATTTCAGATGTTTATTTTGTTTAATTTTGATGATTACAAATGACAACAAATGAAAATCTCAAATTCATCATATCAGAAAATTAGAATATTACTGAAGACCAATAAAAACAAAGGATTTATAGAAATGTTGGCCAACTGAAAAGTATGAACATGAAAAGTATGAGCATGTACAGCACTCAGTATTTAGTTGGGCCTCCTTTGGCCTGTATTACTGCAGCAATGCGGCGTGGCATGGAGTCGATCAGTCTGTGGCACTGCTCAGGTGTTATGATAGCCCAGGTTGCTCTAATAGTGGCTTTTAGCTCTTCTGAATTGTTGGGTCTGGTGTATTGCATCTTCTTCTTCACAATACCCCATAGATTTTCTATGGGGTTAAGGTCAGGAGAGTTTGCTGGCCAATTAAGAACAGGGATACCATGGTCCTTCAACCAGGTACTGGTAGCTTTGGCACTGTGTGCAGGTGCCAAGTCCTGTTGGAAAATGAAATCTGCATCTCCAAAAAGTTGGTCAGCTGCAGGAAGCATGAAGTGCTCTAAAACTTCCTGGTATGTGGCTGCGTTGACCCTGGACCTCAGAAAACACAATGGACCAACACCAGCAGATGACATGGCACCCCAAACCATCACTGACTGTGGAAACTTTACACTGGACTTCAAGCAACGTGGATGAAGTGCCTCTCTTCTTTTCCTCCAGACTCTGGGACCTTGATTTCCAAAGGAAATGCAAAATTTACTTTCATCAGAGAACATGACTTTGGACCACTCACCAGCAGTCCAGTCCTGTTTCTCTTTAGCCCAGGCAAGACGCTTCTGACGCTGTCTGTGGTTCAAGAGTGGCTTGACACAAGGAATGCGACAGCAGAAACCCATGTCTTTCATACGTCTGTGTGTGGTGGTTCTTGAAGCACTCACTCCAGCTGCAGTCCACTCTTTGTGAATCTCCCCCACATTTTTGAATGGGTTTTGTTTCACAATCCTCTCCAGGGTGCGGTTATCTCTCTTGCTTGTACACTTTTTTCGACCACATCTTTTCCTTCCCTTCGCCTCTCTATTAATGTGCTTGGACACTGAGCTCTGTGAACAGCCAGCCTCTTTAGCGATGACCTTTTGTGTCTTGCCCTCCTTGTGCAAGGTGTCGATGGTCGTCTTTTGGACAACTGTCAAGTCAGCAGTCTTCCCCATGATTGTGTAGTAGGGATGGGAATCGAAAACCGGTTCCTGTTAAGAACCGGTTCCGTATTTTCCGATTCCATGGCATCGTTTGGCAGCTCGCTGAACGATTCTTTTTTCGATTCCCGCAGCACCAGAGCCTAGAGCGCCGGCTCTGGGGAGCACGACTTACGTCACGTTTTTTACGTAAGTTACGCAAGTTACGCAAGTTACGCAAGTTGGAAGAACTATTCGAGGAGGAAGACAACGAGCTGCGGTCACTTTGTGAATCAAAGCCCCGTCTTTCCTTAGCCCAGAGGGTAGATCAGGAAATCCAGCTCTGTAAAAGCTTGCCCTCCATCCCCTGCAGGGATAGCGCCACACTGTGGTGGTGGAAGAAGCAAGATACGCTGCCCTTGCTATCTGGACTGGCTGAAAACTACCTCTGTGTGCAGGCTTCCTCCACCCCATCTGAGAGGGTGTTTTCCACGGCTGGAGACACCATAAGCGCTGAAAGATCCCGTATCCTTCCAGAAAAAGCAGATATGCTCATCTTTCTGCAAAACAATTGTTAATTTTCACTGTTTTATAATTAGTATTTTTTGTTATTTAAAATAGGTTATTATCCCATCATTTGTTATTAGACATTGTTGGTTATTAAGTTTGTTCTTGTATTCATTTTTCATTTAAACACAGATGTTACTCCAGTTTCACATTTCCTGTGGACATCTTGATCTTGTTGAGTTTGTAAGATTGTGCAATAGTTGAGTAAACAAAGTTGATTCTGATAATCAAACTGTTTGTTCTCCTTTTTCCCCCAAATTGGAATCGAAAAAAGAATCGATAAAGAATCGAATCGTTTCATAGAATCGAAAAGGGAATCGGAATCGTGAAAATCTTTTCAATTCCCAACCCTATTGTGTAGCCTATAGAACTAGACTGAAAGACCATTTAAAGGCTTTTGCAGGTGGTTTGAGTTAATTAGCTGATTAGAGTGTGGCACCAGGGGCCATCAATTTTGAACCTTTTCACAATATTCTAATTTTCTGATATGATGAATTTGAGATTTTCATTTGTTGTCATTTGTAATCATCAAAATTAAACAAAATAAACATCTGAAATATATGAGTCTGTATGTAATGTATGAATATAATATACAAGTTTCACTTTTTAAATGGAATTACTGAAATCAATCTACTTTTTCATGATATTCTAATTTTATGACCAGCACCTGTATATTGGCAATTTGCAATCTCTTTACATGCGCATTTATTAAAAGTTCTTGTTTTTCTTGTAACATTTGTGTTTTCTTCTAAAAACTTTTCAGCTTTAACTCCTCCAAAACCTTCTAACCTCCTGAACATGCCGGGTGCCAGTGTTCCCTCACCAAGCCTGCCCACTTCTGGATTACCTAATAAACCTCCCTCTTCAGCATCTCTTGCTGCATCCAGCCCTGCCCAGAACAACACATCTGCTTCCCATTCAAGCCCCACCCCCACATCGACCTCTACATCATCAACAACACCGTCTGGCTTGCGACCTGGACCTCACAAGGAACGTGAAGTTGAGAGTTTAAGAGAGAAAGAAAAAATAAAGGAAAAGACAGAAAAATCTTCAACCCCATCTTCAACTGGAAGTACACCAGCTCCTTCCACTTCTGCTACCAGTGCCAAGAAGGAGAAACCAGACACAGCAGTCCCTGCCACCTCTATGCCAACACCTGGCATGGAGTATGTGGTAGACCCTGCCCAGCTACAAGCTCTGCAGGCTGCTTTGGCATCAGACCCTACAGCTCTACTTACTAACCAGTTTTTACCCTACTTCATGCCAGGCTTTTCCCCTTATTACACCCCACAGATCCCCGGGGCTCTTCAGGGAGGCTACCTACAACCAATGTATGGTATGGAAAGTCTCTTCCCTTACAACCCAGCATTATCTCAAGCACTCATGGGCCTCTCTCCAGGGTCATTATTGCAGCATTACCAGCAATATCAGCAAAGCTTGCAAGAGGCGCTACAGCAGCAGCAGCGGCAGCTTCAGCAGATCCAGCAACCCAAATCAAGCCAAACTACAGTTCCAACCCAAAATTTAGGGGATCGCAAAGAGTCCACCAAAGATTCTGTCAAAACAGAGGAGCAAAAAAGTAACCCCCAGAGAGAAACCCCCATATCATCTTCGTCATCCTCCTCCTCCAATAACAAAGTACCCTCTGAACAGAATGAGATAGATAACAAAGCTATGGACCTTCATCTAGACCAGTACATTGTTCCCAAAGTGCAGAGTAAACTTGCCTGTCGCAAGTGTCAAGCTGTTTTCACCAAGGAAGATGCGGCTATTACACACATCAAATCTAACTGTTTCTTTGGTCAATCTGTGGCAAATTTGCAAGAGGTGTTGCTGCGTGTCCCCGGTGGCGTAGGTGTTGGGGGCGGAAGTCTATATGACTGCCTGGCTTGTGAAACTACGTTGGATGGGGAAAAAGCACTCAGTCAACACTTGGAATCGGCATTGCACAAACACAGAACAATCAAGAGATCAGTCAGAAATGCCAAAGAGCACGCTACTAGTTTATTACCTCACTCTTCAGCCTGCTTCCCCAGTCCTAACACCGCATCTACCTCGCAGTCTGCCACTCATCCCATCAGCAGCCCATCTCCCCTGTCATCGACATCAGCTACCATGCCATCCTCTGCTGTGTCTACTTCCCTGTGCTCCTCCTCCAAGGCCCACCTTAATACAGCAGCTGCCAGCAAACCCTGGCCACAGGCCCCCTTCTCTAGAGCTTCATCTGGAAAGTCCAGCGCTAGTCCATCCTCATCTTCCTTTCCTCCAGTGTCCTCACCCTCAACGGTTACCTCAAGTTCATTGAGCACCTCAGGAGTTCAGACCTCGATACCAACAGACGTCTTTACCGACGAGTCTGACTCTGACAGCAGTCAGAAGTCAGCAGACAGGCAGGGCAGGTCGGCAGAGGAGCTACAGCAGCCTACCTATGTCAAAGACAGTAATAGTTGTAGTAGTAACTTGGCTAGCGTAGGAACAGACTCCATCAGATTGTAAAAGAGCTTTCAGTGATTGATATTTAAAAAAAATACAACAAAAATGACAAAAAAAATAATAAAATCATAAAAGCAGCAATGTTAAAATACAATTAAAGTATACAAACCAATTTCAGAAAAAAAAGATGTGTAAAGACTTACTGCAATTCCAAAGCTTGTAACCAAAAAATTTTAATGTCAGTGGATTGTTTTCCCATAACAACATGCTGGTTTTTATTTATTTTTTTTTTCTTCTTTTGTTTATCCCAACTGAAATTCAAATGTACTAAGGTGTGAGGACATAAGAGATCCAAGATCACTGCTGATATATGTAATGTAAAGGTAGAGCAATGCTGTACTCTATGGCAATGGACTGCCTCAATGTTGGCAAATGGCCTAATAGCCCTTGTTAAGGAATGCAAATTACCAACCTAACACTTTCTACTTAAGAGCACAGTCACAAAAGCCAGTATGTATTGTATGGGAGAATAGTCTGTTCATTCAGTTTTCTTGCTACTTAAGCATTCTGATACCAATGGCTTGCAAAGTAAAAAAAAAAAAAATGTAATGTCTATTTTATTCTCAGGTCAAGAGCTCAACGATGTTTTTTCTGTTACAGATATTCATGTTTGTTTTTTTTCTCCAACAAGATGAGCATCTTGTTCCTTCAAGTTGATTTAACCACAACATTTTAAGTTAAATTGAATTTTAACAAGGCATTTTGTAATGGGCATTTTAAAGAATTGATTTGATATTCCTAATTTTAAAGTCTTCTTAAAGTGATCAAATCCAATTATATTAAGATAAAGAAAGCATTGCAGACATTGTAATGGGCAAGTAAAAAATGTTTTGATAAAAAAAAATGAAATAAAACCTGTATTTATAGATATGAGCATTTTTGGTGTTAAGTAGATTGTTGCATTGGAAATGAATTTCAACAGTATGGTAGGTTGGAAAAAAAAAACTTTATGTACATTTAACTTTTGTATTGTCTAATTTTAAGACACTTCATTTGATGTTGACTTGGTCATTCCAATAGTCTAGGTTATTGAGAGGTAACTTGTCAAAACATTGTTTCTGTATTATTCTCAAATTTTTGTGAAATATTCTCTGGAATGCCCCTCTTGATAAGGCAGGATCCTTTTTTAGGATCAAAATTTATTTAATTTTGAGATGTGGTTGGTGTTGTTCAAACCAAACGATCGTGGGTGAAATACTGACAGATTTATTTTATTTAATTTTTGTTAACTTTGTGCACTTATCATTGTCTGACTCCTACTTTTAACTCCTCTTGTTTCTCTTTTCGCACTTATTTTTTTTTTTGTCCTGTATTTGTAGACATTTATCCTACAAAACAGGTCTTATTTTCTTCATATTAAGTGACTAAGGTGTTCATTTTTGCTTTGTCTTTTTTCATAAATCAAAAAAGATTACTACTAATAATTCTCACGCTTTAAGACAAAAGAAAATCCAAAGACTAAACACTTTCACCATTGGTGCATAAAGATGAGAAGAGAGGCTTCTTTATACTTGAGAATTTGTTGCCGTCTTTTAAGGAAAGAACATAAAGTTTTAAAAGTTAAAGGAGTACGTATCCAAGTTGCCGTTTCTGCTTGTTCGCAAGCAAGTTGGTAGCTTTTTTACGTAAATAACCAAAAACCAAAAAGGGCCCTTGTCCTTGCATTGTTGAGTAGCACCGTTACAGAGCCATTGCAGTTTGTAAGATAGAGGTTATTGATCTTTGTTTGACTTTTGTCACATTTAAATGTCCATTTTTTAAAAGAAAATGTATAAGGTCTGGTCTTCAAGGACATACGTTTTGCTGCTAATGTAGATTTTTGAAAAAACAAAAAAGAAAAAAGTAATACCTAGATGCATGCTCATTTTGCTTTTGGCTAAGCTTTAACTAAAACAAACAATAAACCAATTTCTTGCCTCTGCAACACCTTTTTTTCTTGTTGCAAAAACGGAACTTTGAAGACTGTGAATATATGTTCCAAAGGACATTTTGCGGAGTTTCTTTTTGAACAGACCAATGTTTGAAGCCAATGATCTATAACGTTTGTAAAGAACAGTGCATTCCAAATATCACAGTGGATTTTTCTTAAGCAAGGACTGATCAATCTAATTTCATTTGATTATTTTTATTTTGCTATCTATTTTTCTCATTTTTTAATGACTTTAAACTGTTGTGTATATTTTTTGCATCATTGGTTACTTAACACAGTGACCTCTACATGTCCTTTGTGCTGGCATGGAACATGGCTGAAAAATCCCTCCATCCAATCAAGGTTGTTGCTTACTTGTTAAGCAAGTAACAGTGGTTACCAAAAATGTATATAATACATCTGGTACTGATGTGTCTCATAGTTTTTTTTCTTTTTCTTTTTACATTACTGCCATTCAACGTCCTCCTAGTCTCAGAGGGATTCAATGGCTTGTTGATGAGGTCTTATCGCTCTTATCCATGAAGTCTACTTGTGAGTTGTTTCATCATTGTGCAGGGTACCAATTCCACTCTTAGATTACAGGTTACAGGGCATCTTCAGTCCAAAGCATCTTCTGCAGAAGAGTTAAAAGTTTAGTTGTTTTTTTTGGTTTTGTTTTTTAAAGATGCCCCTTGCTTTCAAATACTCCGGATCCATTCATATCCAAAGAAGTCATCTAATTATTTTTACTGCAATGGAAATAGTTGTGTATAGGTGCCCGCATCTTCTCATTGGTGACGTTAAACTCAATATTTTCTAAACCAAAACCAAGGTGTCTTTAATTTTTTTCTATTTTTTTTTTGGGGTGGGGGGGGGGATAAACAATTTTTGGCCAATATTCAACCTAATGAATACAAGGCACAATCTCTAAAGTATTTAAAAAGTGCTACTTCTGCCAGAGAAATGTGATACGGTGTTAATACCATGCTGTGCTGTTCAAGTCAGTAGATCTGGTCTGCAAACTTGAAAATTCTCAAATCCAGTTTCTTGGAGTACTGTTGACGTGTGTACCTTGTTATTTTGAAAGCAATTCTTAAGTTATACAGTTTACTGTCTCACCAATCTTTTGTTTTCATATTTTATTTTTCAAAGATTGTTAAATATGTACTGTATTGTTTTTTTCTCTCTTGTGTTTGCATTTTGCCTTAGTTTCTGTATATTACTTTTAATCATAAATTAACACTAGCTTTAATTTGAAATGTTGAAATTTAGAAAAACAAACAAAAAAATGACAAGACCTGGCCACTTTATGGTGTGACAATGTTCTTTATATTCAATGTTTCAATGTTATCGTTTGTTCTCTGTTTACTCAAATTGTAATCATTCAGGCTCTTTTGTGGACCACAAAGTCAAGGTCTCCACAACAGATTAATGCCAGTATGGGTGTGTTTTTGTGTGCCTGTGTGTATCTGTATGTATTTCAGAAGAGCCAGCATCAATTCATTTTGTTTTTCCTTGTTACCCTTTTTTGTTGTGTTACACACCAAATAAACAGAACCACAAAGCTGGATTGTGATTTAAATTATAAACAAATGAAAATGAAACAAAATAGCTCTTAATGAGAACAATGAACCCAAAGCACTGAGCAGTTTTAACTTTGATTGAATATGTTAATGTGGCCAAAGCTTTATGCAGTTGTGACAAAAAGAGACAATTTCTGCCCTTTACAAGTGCATATTTTATTGTAGATTCAATAAAATATACGTGAGTAAACATTGGGATAGACTTAATGGACGCTTACATGAGAAAGACAAGATTTTGTTGTTGAGGTAATTTTTTTGCCCACTGTGAAACATGTACCTGTATACAGATATAGATATATTTAAAGACATCTTTTTCTGTTCTTTTTTTGTCTTTGAGATGAAGAAAGAATAAGTAAAACAGACTCTGGGAAGCTTTGGAGACCTCTTTAGGAGGATGTAAGAGCCTATGGGCACCACAAAACTGGGCACGGGAGCCAAGGCAGGCTCAAAACAGCTTTAAAAAACACCTCCTCATTCGATAACTGACATCTCTGTAAAAGGAATGGACTCTGGAACCAATGGACTTGTGTGACTACGCAGAGAGGGAGGTCACTAAATGAAACTGAACTGAAGTGGCTCCAGCTGCCTCTAACCCCCTCCCCCATCGGTCCTTTGTTTCTCTAGTTCTCCTTCAGCTTCTGCTCTTTGGTGGACATTTTTCAGATGTCAGGACAGTATGGACAGAGATGCTTGCGTCATTTCTTCCTTTTCGTGTTGCTACCTGTATAATTTCCTTGTGCTTGTCTCTGGCTGACAAGTACAGCTCTCTAGTCAAATGGCGACTCACCCCTCTCTATGTTACTTACATAAACTAAATAGGGAAATTGATAGCATAGTGAGGGGATGAGTTATCAGAGCTGTTATTCCTAGAGGCAGACACAGAAAAAAGCGTAATAACCAAAATTACCAACCAAACTAACAACCAAACAACCATTTGCTCCAGCTTCAAAGATGAACTGTTACCTGGAGTACTCTGTTCCTTTTGTGACTTCTGGTGCCACAATGTTTTTTTTTATGTTTTTAGTTTTCCTTTCTTTTACTCCTCTTCTGAGCCTCATAAGCATGGCTCTGTGGCTCCAGGAAGCCCATCTGAGGGTAGAAAAAAACAGCCTTGCAATGTACAAAAAAGAGCAAGTTAAACCAAAAATGTTGTTCTTGATGTCTTTTCTATACTGTAGTCTTGTTAGTTTTTTTTTGTTTTGTTTTTTGTTACTGTAATCATATGAAGATTTCCAGACTGTACCAAATGACATGGAAACTAACATACATACAACCACATGGAACTTCAGACTTTTAAAGAAACTTTTGTCACAAAACCTTGTTGTCCTAGTTAAGTTGATTGTAGATGGTAATTGAATATACTCCTTTGAAAATATTTCATCAAGTATGTTTCTTGCTCATTGTGATACATTAAAAAAGTATGAGCATTAAATGGACTGTTTGGACTCATTTTTCGCTGTTCTTTGGGTTGAACCTTCTGTATGTGGGGCGAATATTTTCTTTACAAACTTTGCTTAGTATCTAATCATACCTATCTAAATTGACCCAAAAAGGGTCCCAGATAATGTTGTATGCCTCTGTATATCAACATAGCTGACTGATACAGGGGCACACTAAAAAAAAAAGAAGAAAGACATTAAAGTGGTCAATATTAAATCTTTTATAAAAAATATATTTTTCAGTGAGATCTTCAATTTTTAAAAAGCAAACGTGGCCATTTTGGTTCATTTAATTTCCTTTTTCTAATTGCATAGAATAAACTACAATATCAGTAAAGGCCAACAAAGTTAGCCCATCATACTAAGAATTATGTATGCCTTTATTTTAATCTAAAAACCATGCAGAAACTGATTAATATATTTGTTTTAAAATTTATTCTTTATTTCTATTCTGTTATTCATTAAATAAGATGGCAGAATTTAGATCTGTAATCATTTTTAACACATTCACCTACTGATTTAAAGGTGTCATTAATAAATTGTAACAGCCAAGTCTGGTAGCCCCAAAGGACAAAGCAGGTGAAAGCAGGTGTGCGGTTGATGCACACAATTTTAAAAGTACAAAATTTGAATCTGAAATCTGATCAAAGTCATAAGTAATTTTACTTGGGAGAAAAAAGGAATATATCAGATGCTAGCGAACAATCCAATGTTGTGTGCCATTTTAGAGTTCCGTAATTAGGTCTGGTTAACATTGAAGGCAAATGTGACCCATATGTGAGTCAGATTCAACTTTTTATATAACATTGTCCAGATTTTTATTTTATCGTCTCCATAAAAATCTGAATTGTGGCATGTGAATATGTATCTGAAGCTTATTCGATCTAAATGATCATGTGGCATTTCATCCAACTCCTCATTCATGCAGACTCCACTCTGCGCAGCAGTTAGTGCTCTCAAGAACACATTTTAAATAGGCATTCCTTTTTTCCTACTTTCCTATCTGTTGTTATGATGTGATCATATCATTCTCCCCTACCATTGTTCAACAACCTATAAATACATAATCACACTTCATATAGTTTTTTCCTATATGCAGTAGCAGATCTAGAAAACGTTATATGGAGAGGAAAATGAGACATAAATTGTCTCGGCAGGGTGGCAATTTTGATTTAAGTATGTTAGAAAGCTCTTATATATAAACGGAATTAAGCAAACATGAAAAGGATCATTTTCTCTTGTATAAAACACAGAGAACTTTTAGGTGTAGGATAAGTAAGGAAAAACAAATGTTCCACAAAATAAATAAATAAAAATAAAGACATCAATATTTTAACCTGTAGTAGTTTGTGTTTATTGTGCAGGAAACGATTTATCACTCAGGTCAGACTCGCCCTTCTCTGAGGAATATTCAAATAAGAGACAGTTTTCTTTGGTTGTTGATTATTAACTCTGCTGATAGCCTCTGTCTAATTTATTACATTTGTGAAGACAACTGGATTTTAAATAGCCGATCCAGGAGTCTGTTATGCCATTTGCCATGATCATACTTTTTGGACAGTGGGAACCAGTGTCCATATTTCATCCTGATAGGATGACCAGAGAAGAAAACGCAGCTTTGGTGAATAACAGCTGGGGGACTTCAGCAGCCCCCCTTTTTCAGCCAAAGCAGTCACATGGAAGTCACAGAGGTGTGAAAACCTACCCCCCTCTGTGAGGGCAGAACAAAACCACAGAGCACACAGGATTCTTTCTCTTCTCCTCTTCTCTCTTTCTCCCTCGTCTGATCCAGCCTGCTTCTGCTCCTGCGCTCAAAGCTGGGGCCCACTGTGGCCCACAGTGGAGATGCAGGCCCCAGGGGAACCAGATCCCCAGAACCATCAAGGATGAGTCAGAACTCTTCAGAACCTAACTGCTGCAAACAGAACTTTTGAAACACATTTCTCTTGAGTTTCAGAACTTTTAGAGCCAAACTGGATGAAGACCATGCCCTGGGTTTGAGACTGAGGGGACCCCTGCTGTGAGACTGAGACAAAGAATCCCTGACTGCAGAGCTGCAAAACTGGATGAAACTCAAGCTTTCCAAATGGACATGGAAAAAGGTTTGCAGGTCTGGCATGATTAGGGACAGAACAAGCAATGTGTCTTTTGATGATGCTAATCATATCGTGTGTTTACTGCTCAGTAAAGACAACGCTAATTGATGCTAAAGAATGGACTGCATGCTACGCTATACTACAGGAATATTTGTTGAGCTGTTGCTAAAGCTTAGACAAGCTTTATTCACTAAGGATTTAACACTGATAGAACATTAGTGTTCACGTGTTCCTCAAATGCTCATTACATTTCCATTGCCAAGTATGACCAAGAGTCATTTAGTGGAAGCCTGATGTCCATTCGCTGCTAGCTATTTCAAAGAGGGTAAAGAATCATTTAGCTAAAGGTTATTGGTTCTTGATTAAGCAAATCATTCAATAGAACATTATTAGGCCAAATAATGTTTTATTCACCTCATGGATTTGCATTGTCAATTGGTCTGAAAACATTCCAATGTCCTTAAAATTAGTGAAAAGCTAATTTGATCACATTCCAAATTCTTCCAGATAAACTTTGGTTTCAAACACAGAATCCATCTTAAACTGTAATATGTTTTTCAACCGTTTTCCCCTTCCTCTTTGTACATAGTAGTTAGTTTAGTTTAGTTGAGTTTTACTAGTCTTAGTTGAGAGTGTTAAACTGAAATACGTTTGACTGGGAGCTGAATGATTTTTGTTAATAAAATCTTATATTTTGAACAGAAGTTGTGATGAATTTATTCCATGTATGTGCAGAAATAACTGTTTGACCATGATTAGTGCTCGAATCACTCTTTCATCTATTGTTCTAACACACAGTTAGTAGGACTGTGTGTCATAAACACTATATAACAGCTGAAATAATATCTGATTAAATAAGATATTTCACCACCCCTACAGGGGAGGGCAATAAACATCTTAAAGTATCAGAAACATAAATTCCCAGCGGGCTGGGAATAGAATTTAACTATAGAATCACAACAAGTCTAACCTTGGATGTCAAAGACCAAAAAACCCTGGTGAGTAAGTTACAGGTATAATCATCCAGCTAATGATAAATAATGGGTTTTACCCTTGATTTTGAATGGCCTATTAATTAGCTACATTTCCAGTTCTAGTTAATGTTTTCACTATCTATTGGTAAAATATCACAACATTTATATGTATGCTGTTATGGCTTGCTATTCTGATATGTATTAATAGTGCTCGCCTCTCTGTTGTTCCATTTGTAGATCCCTAAAATAAGATTTTTTCTGATCAAAATCCCACTAGACTGAACTGTAATAATACATTTGCTAAAATAAATGTTTACAGCCCAAAGAGAATTTCAGAACGTATTCTAGATGTGAAGAATGTCATTTTGTTTGAAATGGTCATTTTAATGAGGTAAGGAAAAAATGTTTGCCCAGATATCAGGAATACAATTACTAATACATACTTGATATGAATTAGTATAACTAATTCATATCAAAATGGCTTGCCATAGATTTGTGACCACTATAACATTACAGATTTATTTCTTGAATGGTAGTAGATTAATGTCTCTATTTAGCTGAAATCATCTGGCAGCAGGTGAAGATGAAGTCTTAAAATGTTGTTTTAAAATATAGAACCAATTCATCATCTCATGTGGTCCTCCTTATGCTGATTCTGTCTTCTTTTACACAGTGAATACTAAGTGGCTTTATGCAGCTGCTTTGGACGTTATCATCCCAATAAATGGTCATTATTAACGGTTATCAGTCCCATAGTATGGTTGATGATTGTGTCAGTAGGCTCAGTAGGTTGTTATCACAGAGTGAATTTTAATCCTAACCCGAAGGTAATTCCTCTTCCCCCCTTAGAATTAATAATCTATTTATGTGTAATCTGAAAATAATTTCAGTAGTTCTTAGTGTACTGTAAAACTAAACAAATAAAAAATGATCTGCATATCGCTCATATTAAACAAACCAAAAACAAATAAATATCATATCCTGTCAAATGAGTTGTAGAATCCTCTCCATATGAATATTCAATTCTCGGTGAATGAATGCTGATCATTCTTTAACAAGATCCTCGTCAAAAGGAAATGCAAGGTTTGTTTTTTAATCTGAGGACACTCCTAGTTTACTGAAGAAAACCTGCTCCGATCAGGTTATTTCTAGGGAGAATGTTACTATGATAGAGACTGTTTCCCATATTTCAGGTTCAGAAAACTTTTTTTTCTAGTAAGTCTTCAGTAAACCTGCTTTGTGAAACAGGCCTCTGGACTTGGAGAAGTATACCAGATCCTGAGAACTCACCACTTTTGACATGCAAATCATTGTCTATCCCAACAAGAAGCTTTCGGTGTAGAGCCTGCCCAAAGAAAGAAACCAAACCTTCAGGGAGCTACAAAACACTGCCAGATCGAGCCTGAAGAGGGTAATCAGAGCGTAAAAGGCTGGTTACACTACAAGAGAAAAATAGAGGATTTATTTAAGAATGACTCCAAGCGGGTATGACAAGAGGTCTGCAAATGTATAAGCTACAGAACCTGCAACCTTTCACCAGATGATGGTGATGCTTCACTAACAGAGGGACTTAGTTATAAATTCACTGTTTCCACCTCAGACAGGGACTGTTAGTGTCATTTAACAAATGCTTCATGTAAATTATTATTTTAATGTCCTGTATCTGTGGTGTGTGGTTTTCCAGCTGCACATAAATACACATTTTGGGAAAATCATCCCAAATACACAGAAGATCATCAACTACCTCCCTCCATCCCTTGATGAACTTTACATTTCCCACTGCCACAGGAAAGCTCGGCACAAACTGCAAGACCCGACCCACCCTGGTCATGCTTTGAGTTCAGTTACCCTCTGGCGGATGCTTCGGGATATTCAATGCCAGCACAAACAGACCAAGGAAGAGTTTCTTAATGAGATCTGTTATTAA